ATAGATTGTCCTTATTTTCACTTTATCAATCTATCAATTTTGTTCTCCTTTTTATGATTGGTATTTATTAAAACTAATAACTAATGTAGAATCTCCTTTGCCATGTGGCCATGGCTTTCTTACCCTTTTCTTTCTATTCTCTTTTTATTTCTTTAGTTTCTTTTCCTTTTATTTACTTTTCTTTTCAAAATCAATTTTTGTGTTCACTAGGAAATTCCTTTTTCTACATAGCTACTTTCTAGGGTGGCCAGTATGAGAATTTCCATCTCTTTCCTTTCTTCGATCTTGGCTAGAGTTTATGAAAGTTTATGGTTTCCTGGTATTTTGGGTGTGTTTGGTTTATGGGAGGCTTGGTGTGACAATAGGTGATATTGTGATGAGAGTTTTGGGGCATCCGTCAATTATTTCCTTCAATACTAAGTCAAAAAGGAACTCTTTGAGATACAGTTGTCTAGCTATGGTAGCTAGGGCGCCATGACAACAATCTACCTTAGGGAAAGGACAATGTTTTTATGTGATGAGCGAGATAAACTGGTTATCAAAAGTCAGTGGGAGAAAAATTCATTGGGTATCATAGGAAAAAACATGTTTGAGGAAAGATAAGGGAGGTTTAGGGATACCCAATCTTAGAATTAGGAACTTATCCCTTTTAGGAAAGTGGTGGGAAAGATTTGAAGAGGAAGAAGGGGGTTTGTGGAAAAGGGTGGTGGAGGAAAAGTATTATAGAACGAATAGCATTCGTAGGGTGGGGTATGTTAGGAAAAGGCGAATGTCTAAGGTGTGGGCGGATGTAGTTCTAATAGGTAGGCAACTAGAGGAGTCTAAGGATATAATAGGCAATGGTTTTAAGTGGAAGCTAGGGGCGAGAGATAGGATTAGATTTTGGGAGGATAAATGGCTTGAAATATGTGTCAAATATCGAAGGCTATAAAGTGGAGAACATGGGGGATCGGAGGGAGGGTCAATGGTGCTCGGTATTGAAATAGAGGCGAAACTTACTTGGGAGGGAGATTGAAGCAGAGAAGGAGATCATAGATTTACTTGAAGGGGTTAATCCTACTGCAATGGGGGATAGGAGGGTATGGAAATTTGATAACAATGGTCTCTACACTCCTAAAAAGGCATATGAATTGATGAACCCAGTGCAAAAAATTTTAGATGTTGATTTTTGCAAAGCAAGTTGGAACAAATTTATTCTAGGAAAGGTGAGCTTTTTTGGTTGGAGATTATTCTTAGATAAGCTTCCAACAAAGACGAATTTGAGCAAGCGAGGGATTCCAATAGATGGAGGTAGTGCATTATGTTCAATGTGCGGGGAGAATGAGGAAGATTTAGATCATTTGATGTTTTAATGCCCATTTGTATAGAAAGTGTGGATGGAGATATTAGCTTGGTGGCATGTTCAAAGTGCATTAATGGGTTTTGTCAAGGAGGCATTTTGGCAGCTAGTCCACGAGTGGCAGCATGATAAGTTCAAGGTGATTTGGTCCCTTATATTTATATCAGTTACTTAGCATATTTGGGAAACAAGAAACAAATTAATCTTTCGAGCAAAAGAGACTGATGTAGATAGTTTGGCAAGGATTATACAGACCAAATCCTTTCTATGGTTAAAGGATTCAATTAATGGTTGTGGGTTCTCTTTATATGATTGGATTTGTCATCCTGAATTATGTGTTAAATCAATAGGTATGTAACTATGCCATTTCTCTTTTGCACTGGTAAAATTTGATGTAAATGGGTAGGAGTACCCTTTGTACTCCAAATTAATAAAATTTATTTGGTTGATCAAAAAAAAAAAAATCAAAAGTCAATGGGTGTCACTTGAAGATGGAGATGGTGGAGTGATGATTGGATGGAAGATTAAGGCTTGTTTGGCTTAGTTTAGAACCAACACTTGGTGAATGGGGATTGTCACTTGTTGGGTTATCTGTTCTCTCCAAAAGCTAGTAATTTTAATGGGATTTGTCAAAAGCTTTGATCGCTCAATAGGATAATTCTCCTACCAGGTAGCTCTATTTTCCCCCTTATAGCACTATTAATTCTTGGTTGCTAATGATTCTCTATACTTAATTGTGTAGAATTGTCGTAGGCATAATTTAAATCTATAACTAGTGCTTGTAGGTTATATTTCAATTTTATGCTATAGTGCCATAATATATAGAAATGTTGATGTAAGCACTTTCTACTTTTCTATAAAATCTCTATTTTTCATTAAAAAAAACTTTGTTAATTTTTTACTCATGTCGTGGATGGGTTGCCTTTGGTAGCATATATGATCTTAATGCTTATCAACCATATCTAAAAATAATTAAGAGGAAAAATACCTTAAAATTATGTTATTTTAATAAAATGCTATGGGGAAAAATCAAAATAATATCATTCTTTCTTTAAAAAGAAGTTATTTTAGCCTCTATTAATGGGAGTTTATTTCAACGATATTGTTTTTGGGAGCAAAAAATTAAACAAAAAAATACTCTAAGTTGTTTTAATAAAGTACTAGGAAGAAAGACGAATACAATATTATTATTTTTCAATGATAAGTTATTAAAATGATGGAGTTTTGAAGTTTTTTCCACCGAATTTTTTGCAGATATAGCTAATAAACACTAATATCTTTATACACATATACATGTACGTATATACATACTTAATTTTGAGTCGTATAACATGCAAATAAATTAAATTGAAAAATGGAAGATAACTGCCTCCCACATTAAATATACAAACTAGTCCAGTGATACCCAAACATGTTGCACTGTTACTAGTAAGGTTTGTTACACCTTACTTTCCGTTACATTTTTTAAGCTCTAAATGTTTTACGAGGACGCTGAGTTGTCTGCACATCGTGGTGCCAAGAAAACATAGCATGCATGAACGGCTCTAAAACTACAATGAAAATACATTAATTCAAATAATAGGACAATTGACAGGTTTCCTACATAACCTGGGAAACAGACACGGGTATTAAGGACGAGAAAGGAAGAAGACACAGGCTTTAGAGAACGCTGATGGCATTACCGATGGATACCTAGGGATGGCAGTATTTGCTGCCGATGTTTCAATGCACATGTTCCTTCCTGCTAAGGCTCCTTTATTCACCTAAAAGATGAGAATTCATGCACTTCACTGCTACATTTCCCAGCCGTTACCAATGCCAAAATGAAACGGAAGAATTAAACTTAAAAAAAAAAAAAACGGTTATTCCGGGAAATGGGAGTTGGGAAGTTACAATTAAAGCATGTTATGAATGAGTGGGGATTGCAATTTCTACTGATCTCCACGCGGAGCCATGGGGATTCACGTCACAGAGCGGTTGGGACGGGGAGGTCTTTTTTTCTTTCTTTTTTATTGAAATTGGTTTTTTTAATCTGTATTTTAAAATAATAAATGTATATTTTTATCATAAATTTATATTTTAAAAAATTTATCTTTAATTTATTAATTATCTAATTAACTTTATTCACTTAGCATCAACACTAAAATTAATATCAATTTTTATGTTTTTTTATATGCATCTATAAGAAAAATGTGTTTTTTAACTTGTACCCTTGAAATATATGTTAAAAATCCTATAAAATTCCTTTCTGCCCTGCACGAATCCTGTTTTTGTGAAATATTAAAATAATTTAAAATTTTATTAAATCCAACCTAGCTAAAATATTTAACTCATATAGCATCTTTGGGTTAGGGTTCCAACCCCTCAGCTTGCAATTGTCAAACTCTTTAAAACATTTCGTTTTAAAATACTCTCTGTATCTTAAAATAATAATTATTTTTTGACTTTTTCTTTAAATTAAGGATTTGAAAACAATTTATTTATTTATCTATATTACTTTTAGAAAAAAAATTTAAAAGAGAAAGTTAAATTTTTTGTGATAGGATAATTAATCAAAGTAAATGAATAATGATATAGTAAAAATAGAAAAAAAAATATTTGTCTACCTTACAAAATGAAAAAAAAATGACAATTTATTTAGGACAAACTCAATATAAAAAAACAACTATTATTTTAGAATAAGAGAAGTAATAGAATAAAGGAAAATGATTGGTACACCCTTTGGTTTAACACACCTAATAACATCCTTTAGTTCAACATATTTAACAACATCTTTCTGTTCAGTCATTAAAATTTGCCTTTAAAAATTTTCTCGCCTTAAATTCACATTTGAAAATATTAGTTTCTTAATGAAAGAATCGGAGTATGTTGCACAGTGTGTTAAACAGAAAGGTATACCAATCATTATCTTAAAATAAAACAAAAAAAGCAAAAATATGACATAAGGACCCAAACTTACACAAAATTCATAATTTTGGATCCAAACTTCAATTGCACTCAATTAAGGTCCCAAACTACACGAAATTCTCAAATAAGGTCCCAATTGAAAGGAAAACTAACTACCGTCAAATCTCCTACAAGCACCGTTAATGTTCATGACACTCCACCCAACTAGAACGCAATTGGAGAAAATTTATGTTGACATGTCAATTACTTTTGCCATGTGGACATGATTTACGACCTCACAAACAATTGGAACCCACTGGTGGGCCCTTCGATCTTTCTGACCAAGGATTCCCATGAATTAGGGATAAAATTCCTAATTTTAACATGCTTCATTCTTCATTCTCGAAACCGCAAGCAGATCTGGAAAATAAATGAACACCTACCAGAATTCTGCTATGTTTGTGGATGCATGGGCCATATTGAATCTGATTGTGCAATTGCAAATTGTATTAAAGACGTCGAAGGGAAAATTGTTCGTCGATATAGACCTTGGTTGAAAGTGGAATTGGAAACCTCTTGCTATCAGATGATTTTGATGTTTTAGATGCAACTTTCTCTAAAAATGCTCAATGTATAAAGGAAAACAGGAATGAAAGGACCAGGGAGCATTTTGTGCCGACTGGAATTGTAGCTTAGCAAATAGAGGGGCATAATGATACAGTTGATGGAATAATTAGTAAAACTGCCATTAAACCAACTTAGCCTCTTGCGAAAACTATGGGAGAAAAGTATATTGTAAGCAATAAGAACAATATTGATCTTTTGCTAGCCTTGCTGGATGATCAATTAGTTGAGGTGCCTTTGGCCGTTGATTGGCCGGAGTGAGGTGGAGGGATGAAAACCCCTTGATCTTTGCCATATACCACCTCATGCGTCGCTGGATCCTTGTAAGGACATCTAACAAACATCACATAGTGCATCCTCTTCGGTGCTGTCGGGACTCTCAATTCTACAAGTAATTCCCTCTCTTCCTTGGTGTACAAATCTCCAAGACGCACTGAGCCAGAACTCAACCCAGTCAGCCTTCCGTTGCAAG